GCCCGCACGCCCCTAGCCCCTTGCCGTGTCGGTGCGGAGCAGCTCCACGCACCGGCCGCGTCCCGGGGCGGCCAGGCCGGGGGGAGCCGGCCGGGCCGGGCCGGGCTGCTGGCAATGCACACGTCCGGCCCGGACAATGGGGCTCTGTGCCCAGCCCTCTGTGCCACCCGGACCTGCTTCCCTCCAGGCATCTGTTGTGGTCACACCGCCACGCTGGCCCCGCTGCCAGTCTCCCCGTGACACCGGGCCCCTGTGACTCATGCTCTCGCTCAGAGGCAGCCCTTGTGCCACGGCCCTGGCCGGGGCCACAGACTCACTGGGGCTTTTGTTCGGCGACGCGGGCGGGGAAAGCATCTCTGCTGGGAGAGGAGGCCATCTCCCACCCGGCTCCACACCCCAGACACAGCTCCAGGCCAGACCCCAGGCGTAGCCAGCTCGGGTGGTGGGGAGGGGGTCGCAGACCCTGCAGCCCTTGCCCCAGCATCCCCTGGTGCTGGCCCCATAGCCCAGCCAACCGTGCACGCAGCCTGCACCAGGAGAAGCACAAGTCGGGCGCTCGCGGCCCACGTGAGCCGTGGCCGGCTCCCACCATTGCTGTAGCGCTGCTCCTTGGGCAGAGGCTTCCCCGCGCTGCGGGGCATCTGCACCAAGCCTTGAGCTTCTCGGCAACACGGCCCCATGGGGATGCTCTACGCTGAAGGCAGAGGGTTCGGGGCTGCTCTTGCTTTCACATCTCATGGGGCCTTAGTCTGAATTCACGGTCAGGTGCAGACACCAGTGCAGGGCTGCGAGGTCCCCACCGTGGAGCAGGAACTGCTGCTGGCTCCAGCTCCAGATGTAGGCAATGGTATGAGGCAGACGTTTTGGGGCCATTTCTCTTCACATCTGCCCTTTTCCCACCCTTCCCAAGAACTGCCGAACTTGGTAATGTCCCTCCTGGCCCTCTGCTTCTCCTCTTGGACCCTGCAGCGAGGTTACAGCGCCGACATTTAGGACATCACAATAATGACACCAAGGGATTGTGGCAGGGAGGGG